GGTCCCTTCCCGGTGGATCCGGAGACCCGAGCGAGCCCTGCTGTTCTCTTGCAGATCGTTTGCGATGTCCGGGTTTGACGGCTTCAACACCGACTTCTTCCAGACGAGCTACAGCATCGACGACCAGGCGCAGCCCTACGGGTACAGCGGGAGGCCGTACAGCAAGTAACGGTTGCATGCCCGCTGCGCGCCGCTTTGGCGACCGAGCCCAGTCCGGGGGGCCCGGGGGTAGTCTGTTTGGTTGGGAAAGGACTGGCCTTTCAGCCAGCTGCTGTTGCCTGTAATGAGTTCCTCTTGCTCGGGTTTGTGAGGGGCATAACTTATATAAGTTAAATGGGTGTATGTAACTTATGCTATATAACCGTAGTATAGCATAGTACAGTACTTACACTCTGTAGGTGGAGTGATAAAGCAGCTGGATGTTGAATACTCTGCCTTCTGCATTCTAAAGCCAAGATTAGAAAAATGAAAGGAAGTTTATATGAGCCATCTTAATTATATGAATAATCTTCACATCTTTGGGAAAAGAAATACTGTTGTTCTGTAAGTCCATCCCCAGTCACTCACTCAGGGAGTAAAAATTAGTTGCAGTGTCACATAAACGAGCCCACAACTTCAGTGGTGGTTTCTAGGCATTAGCGGGAAAGCGTGGTGGGTGTTCCCAGGTGAGGGGGGCTTGCCGGAGTCCCGTGGGAGCATCGTGCTGAGGGCGTTGGTCCGTTGGGTGACCTGGGCGATCCCTGCCACGGACGGAGCGGGTCCGTGCCCCTGGGTGCTCAGGGAAGGGTCGCAGTGCCGTGACGAGGCTGAGCTCTGTTAGCACAGGGAAAGAAGGGAGAATGAGTTCTGGGTTTTACAGCTTTATGTTCGTATTTCCGTAGTTAAATGTTCTGGACATGTTTACTGAAATCTCTGTGATTGGACTTGGAAATGGTTAGTGCAAGAATTACTAACGATGCTGGCATCAAGTGAGATGTCAGTAGCAATTAATGGACAATATTTTAAAAAGTTTGAGATGTAAATTTTTCCTACTCTTTCACGGGTCTGCTGCCTGCTGTAGTAGTTCAGTCAATGGATAAGGCTCATTTCTGTAGGTCTCTGACTTAAAACCAAAAAGCAACACTAGCATATATAGTGAGAATTATTGTGTTTAGCTGAACAGTATTGTGTATAAGGGTTTGAATTGATGAACGTGGCTATATGCCTAAAAGGCCTGGATCCGAGTAGGGCATCATCTAATGTGACTTTGTAAAAAAGAAGAAAGGAGGATTGTGCTCTGTGACTTAACTACTGACAGTAGGCTTTGCTTTTGCGGGGAGGTGTTCAAAATAAAACTGTATCCATCCATAACGCGATGTCATTCTTTGTAGGCAGTATGGAGGCTATGAATACTCTCAACAAAGTGGATTTGTCCCTCCAGACATGATGCAGCAGCAGCAGCCTTACACAGGGCAGATTTACCAACCAACACAGACTTACACTCCAGCTTCAGCACAGTCCTTTTATGGAAGTAATTTTGAGGATGAGCCTCCTCTATTAGAAGGTATACCTTATGCTTGATGACCAAAATCCAAAACTCTTCCTGATTTGGGGATACGTGGAGTAGCAGGGTGTGTATTCCCTGCTTCTGAAGGTGCACAGTTGACTTGAAATTCTCATTCATTTTTTTATTTAACTGTGTTTTGGTATATGAAATAAATGTTGTTGTGTGAACTTCTGCAGTTTCAAATTTGCGCTTTATTGCTTCATGCCAGCTGTGCTGTGGAAGACATAATCAATTAAATGGATAACCTGACTTCAGGCAGCACCTATGACAAAACACTTAGTATTTCTGTTGTTGCAGATACTGCTTCGAATTGCCCACTTCTTGTAAAACAAGGCAGTGCGGTTAGTTTTAGTTGGTTCTGTTATTAGACCTGAAATTGTGTGTTGCCAAAGAGGAATGCTAAACATCACAGAAATGCCTACACAGAATACAGCCTGCGCAGTATGCCAGCAGGGGTTTGTGGTTAGTGTCAGGATTGAGGGTTTCAGTCTCCAGTTTGTATCCAGCATTGTTCGGTACTGAACGACTGAAGAAACCCTTACTGTTACTGGTTAGAGAGACATATTTGTGATACCTATCACCTGTACCTACTTGTGATACCTTCCACCCTGCTGGGTGGTTTTGTACTCTTCAAAAAGTTATTTTGTTTACATAGAAGCTTCCCAGAGCCTGAGGTGGGCAAATCATAACTGCACTTGTGACTAGGCTTTGAAGCTCAGCTGTGGTGGGAGCTGTTGGAGGGAGCTGTGAAACTCTCGTCGTCAGGAGACACTGAGTGTTAAAAGGGGTGGGTGGTCTTTTTAGTGGGCTCAGTGGCTGGTTTATGAAAGAGAAGTCTGCTGAGGGTAGTTACATCCAGAGAAAGGACTTTGAGTTACAAATCCTCGAGCCGCCAGGCATTGGAGACTTGGGGAATCTGCACGTTCTGCACTTACACTCTTCTGCACATAGCTGGGACAGGGTACTGGGGCTGGCCCAGAGCACTCTGCTTACGCTCTTACCTGGTCCTTTAGAAAGCACCCTGTCGCTTCCCTGCGTTTGGAACCTGGAATCTGTGGAGGCAGCACGCTCAGCATCTTGAGGAAAGATGGAATGACTCAGTTCCCTGGTCCCTGTAGGATGGTATCTGGCGGAGATCTAAAAGTGGAGAGGCAGGGAAAACTAAGAGTGAAGCATATGGGGGCAACAGGAAGGGAAAACGTGAAATAAATATACGTATTTCTTTTCATGTAATTGTAGAATTGGGGATCAATTTCGACCACATCTGGCAGAAGACGCTAACAGTGCTACACCCGTTAAAAGTGGCAGATGGCAGCATCATGAATGAGACTGATTTGGCTGGACCAATGGTCTTCTGCCTAGCTTTTGGGGCCACGTTGTTACTGGTAAGGTACTGACTGCAACATATTACTGTTTGTGCATTAATGTTCTTGGAAACACTGGGGCAAAAAGCCAAGTTACCTGTGGGTTTATTGTAAGTGACTTCTTGGCACGGAGGCCAAAACAGCACATCCTGACCAAGAATTTATAGCTGTGTTGGAGAGGAGCTGGGGCTTCACACACCGCTGATGGGAGTTAGTGAGTCCACTCGCACTTTACTTCAGGGGAGTCTGAATTCAAGTCTTTGTGCTTGGTTTTCGCATGACAGTTATTTCCATGTAATTCATATTTCTTTTCATGCTTTTGAGGAATATGGCTCACAGAAATGGGTGTGACCCATGCTCTCAGATTTTTTTACCTGTTTCATTTTTTTATAGATGTTTTACTTTCAGAGCCATACCTTGTCTTTTTGCGGTATCTCTGTTATCTTCTGTCTTATCAGGAATCAGAACAATGGACACATTAAGTATTCAAATGCTTATTTCATCATTTAGGAGTTGCTTTTATTTTTTAACTCTTAGTGTGTTTAATATTTGAGTCTACTTCTCTGTTTTGTTTTATTGTATTTCTTTGCTCCATACTCTTTAGTCATTGTTCTTTAGTGATTCTCAAGAGGCAAGAAAACGCAAATTCATATGTAAAAAGTGATTTCATAAGTACTGATATATCAGGCATGACTTTCAGTATCAAGAGTCAGTTTGGTAAAAGACTTTGAAAGTAAACCTGCTTTCAGGTTGTTTATACTTCTTAACAGGTCATCAGCTGTTGAAGCCTGATGGTTTTCTTTAGTTGAGTTTAATTGAAATAAGATTGTGCATTAATGACTCAAAAGTGTCAGTCATGAAATGACAGAGTAGCAGCAAACAGTCTTCCTTGTCATTGAAGGCCTCAATATTTTTAATCGGTCTTTTTCTCTAGATGTCTTCAGGCACTGCATTTAATTTTTGCCTGAAATTTCATGTTGCTAGGACACTTAGAACATGGTGTTTTGGTACCAAGGGGACTTTAAGCCTGCGTTATAAGTAACCTTTATTTATGGAAACTAGGCCAGTAGAATTAACGTGTTTATAATGGATAGATTTGAATTGTCTTTTCCTAAGAAATTGCCTCTCTCTCCTGTGTGTTGTTTTTTTTTTTTAAATAAATTGAGCATAGTGAAATAAACCAAGCTTAGCCTAGGAAAAAGATTAAAGCAGATATGATTGTTTTCTGTAGCGCTTGAGGAAGAAGAGAGCTGGGTTATAAGTAAACTTGGTTTGGAAGTTAGCAGTGGGAGACAGACCTTGGTGCTGCGCACCATCGTAGCTTCGGTCACTGCGCGGTTCTGCGTCCCCGCAGGGGTGGACGCCGTGCGCTGTGTGTGTTCTGGTGGATGTTAGAAGGGAAGCAGCGACCTCATCGCTGGAAGAACATGATGCCTTAGGATACGTGCATTTTGAAATAATGCATGTATGCTTTCTGCATACTTGTTAGTAAGCAAAATGCTGATTTTAACTTTTTAAAACCTGCGTGAGTTAATTCTGCCATTCATATACAGTCCTTAATAGCTCAACTTCAGCTGTTTTTGGCAATTTTTATAAAATTTACATTGTGCTGTAACTTCGTGGAGTCTATCACAAATTAAAGGACTTTAGCTCTGGTTTTGTCAACAAGTTCCTGAATTACAAGTTTATGGTATTCATACACTAGTTCTGTAAAGATTGGTATTTCAAGTAAAGTTCAGAGAAAATCAGAATGGGAAGATGTTTCATTAAACCCTAAAGAATACGTAGGCTTTCGCAGCCCAGATCACAGAGTAACAATTGGATAAAAATCTGTTCATTGAGAAACATAAAGTTAGGATGAATGTGCCTCTTGGGTGCCTCGAATATCCAGGTGTCCTGGAATTCAGGTCGTGGGAAAATACTGCCTGTTGAATTTGAACGTTGGTGTTGGGGGTGGGAGGCAATGGGGAAAAAGAAGACACTGTGAACTTCCTTGCCTTACCCCCCTGTTTGCGGGAGGCGTTACTTGTTCTGGTAACTCACAGGTGTTACTCTGCTTGGCTTTCAGGCTGGTAAAATTCAGTTTGGTTACGTGTATGGAATCAGTGCAATCGGATGTTTAGGGATGTTTTGTCTCCTGAACTTAATGAGCATGACGGGTGTCTCGTTTGGCTGCGTTGCCAGCGTCCTTGGATACTGCCTGCTTCCTATGATACTACTTTCCACTTTCGCAGTTGTATTTTCGTTGCAGTAAGTACATAAACTTTATAATTTGGTCGTAAATGCCTCTCCTATGAGATGGTGAAGGAAGGAAGTTGTTAAAAAAAAATTTTCATATTCAGTGATGAAACTGCGTATAATTGGAATATGACAGGAATTTGTAGTAAGTGTAAAAGCATAAATATCAACAGTCTTCCAGGTATTTACTGGATGAAAGATAGGTGAATACTGGTTTTGTCTATAAGTCAATTAGCAGCTTTTAAATGCATAGACTCAAATAACAATATTAAGTTTGTTTTCAGTCAGCTATGAATCTGACAAATCTCGTCAGTACGTGTAAAGTCTAAAAGTAATTATAATTTTAGATGCAAATTTGAATTTGGCGAACAGAAGAAAATCAGCGTCATTCCTCCCAGCTGTGTGAAGTTAGGAACTGAAAAGAAAGAGCTTTCTACAGTTGCTTTACCACTGTTACGTTTCATGTACACAAAGTTAATTTGGGGTTTATTTTTATGCAGTCATAATTGAATAATATGGTTCTGAAGTCTTTACTGGAACTATTTTATTTAAAAAGTCAAAGATAAAAGATAAAATCTAAAATTCATCTTAGAATTTGTAAAGGTGTTAGGGTCCAGTTACAACTCCTCTAAGCACGTACACACAAGTCTTATCTGAATTCTTGTTTTTATTTCTGTCTTTCCAGGGGAATGATGGGGATTATTCTCACGGCTGGAATCATTGGCTGGTGCAGTTTTTCTGCTTCCAAAATCTTCATTTCTGCGTTAGCAATGGAAGGACAGCAACTTCTAGTAGCATACCCCTGTGCTTTATTGTATGGAGTCTTTGCTCTCATTTCTGTGTTTTGAATAGACTGTCCAAACTGTTGGACTCCAGTGGGCCAAAATGAAAACATCGACTTGGAACATTGAGTTGGACCAGAAGCAGCTGTGAACAACTGTATAGTGTTGCTCTCACAAAACGTAGACCTGTTTTGAATCATCTGGAACAAGGAAAACAAATGTCTCGTGTTCACTTTTTTAGGACTTTGAATACTGTTTTCAATTGACCTGAGGTGTCGATAGCTTTAATGAGTGTTCATGCTTAGCAAGTTCAAGTAATTTCTTTCCCATTCCTGTATCTTTGGAAAAGTAACTTTTGTTTATTTGAGGATTGGGGTTTTTGTTTGGTTTTGTTTTGTTTTTTTTTTTAGGGGAGGGAGGGAGAAGGGTTGCAGTTATAAATGGATGGATTTTTATCACCAGAAGTTAACAGAACTGCAGACGACGTAATCTGGGGAGCTCTCTGAGTAAATCTGCAGTGATGGAGAACCTGTTTCCTGTCCCCTCTTCCCGAAAACAAAATGCACAAAGGAACGCAAGCAATGAGAGTATTTTCTGTATTTTAACAAATATACTCTTAAGCTCTTTGGTTGCATTTATTTGTTCATTTGATGTAATAGCATTTCAGGATTTAAGATATTTAAATTATGAATTAGAAAACAGATGCTTAGAAGTTAAAGGGATCTGTAATTCTGTCACACTTGAAATATGAATACATTTAGATGTCTAAGTGGCTATATGTTAACTTGGATTTCTGAAGACAACTAGATTTTTTTCTCCTAATGGTGCGCCTATGAGTAGATGAAGAGTAATCTCTTTTGCAGTACTTCCAAGAAAAACACCATTTTGAAAATGTTATGCTTGTCAGTATTGTAGTTACTGTAAAATAATTTAAGGCATATTGATTAAATTTTCCTTAAATTTTGAAAAATGTTTGATTTTTCTAATAATTCTTTTTTAATGGAATTCAGTTACTAAAATAGAACCTTCAGTAGTGAAGCAAAATCATATTTAAAACTGTGTTCAGTCAGTGGATTTGATACTTGGCTTTGGTCACAAATACTTAATCTTACACGAGAAGCGTAGTCTGGTTTGTGATGATGGTCACTTACAAGAAGCCTTACAAGTGTAAGAAGGGGGAAAGCAAAAATGATTGTTCTTCACATAAGCGCTTGCTAATTCTTAGAATCAGCAAGAAAAGGGTAGAGACTTACTTGAACTCATACTGGGGAGGAGAGCTTACGTACGTAGATAGTCATTCCCTGCCCCTGCCTTGGAGATGAAAAAGCTCTAACAAAGAGCTAGATTGTAAGTACCATTTCTTCAGCAATTCAGTCTAAGGGATTTCATTTCCTCGAGTTTACCACAGGTGTTCGTCCGACGTGCATCTCTCGTAGCCGTGGAGCGATCTGTTCATCGCTTCGGGAGCTGAACCACTGCTCAGGAGCCTTACATTGACACCTTCTGGTGAGACTCGGCGTGTGAGTGCATCTCCAAAGGAAGGCTTTCATCTGAGTGATGAATGAATGAATAATTTCAAAGGCTCAACATGCATTTTTGTTCACTCTTCCCTTAGTTCCACATGTTCTCCTAAAAGCATCTTCCTAGTGCCACGAGAAGTTACTGGCAAGGTCCTGCTTTGTTGGCCAGCGTCGACTTTTGCTTGTGTCCCTGGGAGTTGTGGGAGGTGTCGTAGGAGTGTAACGCCTTTGAGAACCCAACGCTGATG